CCGTTTACCCTCTGCCGTATAGCAGACATACTGCTACACGGCATACAGCACGGGTATGCAAAATTACATACATACACATACATACATACACACACAGTGAAGGAAATAAGTATTTGATCCCCTGCTGATTTTGAATGTTTGCCCACTCACAAAGTGGATCAGTCTAAAAATACCATCCAAAGGGTGCCGCTTCCAAAACACCCAAAAAATGTGACGCAGGATGATCACTTAGATGTGAATGGGGACTTACGCAGGATCAATCTAAATAAAGCATTATTTATCTGTTCATGTGAATGAGCCCTAAGGCCCCATTCACACTTGGCGATTTGGAACCGCAGGGAGGGGGGGAATCACCATGATTCTGCCCATGATTCCAAATCGCATGGTAATTGCACTTGGGTGACAATCATTCTAAATGGCACCTAAAGCGCAATGCGATTGTTGCATAACAGAATCATGTAGCAAAATGCATCTAAAAAAATTGCATATAGCCAGTTGCACTTTAACCACTTCCCACCTGTATGGCACATAGGACATCCTCAGGTTGAAGTGGTTATACTGGGATGATGCCTACACCTGCAGGCATCATCCCAACATCAAAATTTCCTGCTGTCAATTCTTTTTTCAGCAGAAGTAATTTGAGTGGCTGAACAGCCACTTAATGAGCTCCCCCCCCCCCCCCCCCCAACCCCTGCTGCCACCTTTACTGGGCGCTTCCATTCAATTGCAGAGCCTGGAACCACTGTGACCGGCAGCACTAGAGTCAAAACCAATTAAATTCAATCAGTAAAAGTCCAATTCATCAAACGCATAAATACTTCAAATAAGTCCACCAAAAAAAAAAAATAAATTATAAAATGTGATTGAATAAAAAGTCCTGATCCACTAAAGTCACCACATGTGCAAATTAATAATTAATTTAGTAAGTGCATGAAACTTCACTCAAATATCACCGCACGCCCTGGAGGAAAACCTCCCCAAATTCAGTGGCACTCACCAGATATCATAGCCCAGGGACATACATACATACACAAACACATACATACAGTGGGAACTCATTTCTAAATGGTAGAGCTTTTCTTGTTAAAGCACACAGCAACTCACTTCTTTAAGGGCCTTTTTGCCCAATTATATTTAAAAGAAAGTTCAACAAAAATGCTTCCCATGCAGGGGTATCCACCAGCAAACAAATTAAAACCGTATTCAGCCCTCTAGCTTGTACATACAATTTTCCACTAGCCTTCCACTTCAGGCTTATGTCCATTTCCTGCAGACCCTTTCCAAAAAAAAAAAAGCTATATGGCTTCTACCTCTCCTTAGTGAGGTCCTCCTGACTGCTGACTGCTGGTGGAGCCAGAACCATGGTTAGGCCTCTATGAAAAGGCCTGCACACACCTGTGCAATCAGTGTCCTGGCCATTCCCAAAACCTGGTCCCAGGATTGGAGATTTCATCCCTACTAGATCTCTTTGAAATCTCCAGGCTCCAGATCCCAAAACAGACTTAATGAAAAAATGAGGAAACCAAAAAGCCAGTTTCCTCTGCAATACAACAACCCCCTTGAGCCCCTCAACCTGCCTGGGAAGAGAAATACACACGCACAGACACATGTACATACACTGAAATGCACAGACACATGTACACACAGACACATGTACGTACAAACACACACATGTACATACACACACAGACACATGTACACACACATACATGTACATACAGATACACACATGTACATACACACAGACGCATGTACAATTGTACATGCAGACATACACACATATACACGTACACACAGCCCCCATAAAAAGTTGCAGTACTTCGTTGTTCACTCACAGATCCGGGTACTGCACTCTAGGGGGAGACAGAGAGCACAGCACACACTCCTTGTTTTGTTTTCATTGAGCTCAGCTATTGAGCAGTCTGACGGCTCCCAGTGCCAATGACAGATCCGGCCTGAGCTCAGAGCCTGCTCAGCAAGATGGCCCTGGGGGACACACTCACCCCCACCATAATTTCCACTCGCCATTGGCGAGCAGGCGAGTGAAAATTTCAAGCCCTGTCGTAGCCCATCTAAACTTGATAGGCAATCACGCTTATGATGAGTGTCGGACGTTATAAGGATCCTCAATCACTTAGCCACTTGGCAATTAGAGGCTGATTAGATGGCGGAACATCCTCCAAAATATTTACTCCATTACAAGGGAAAGACATAAAAGAGAGCTCATAGCGTAATTCCACTAAAATTTATTTATTATACAGAAAGTAATGAACTCACAAATGTCATACGGCCCGACCCTGATGTTGATCATGCTTGTATTTTTCCTATGCGATTTCATTACTTTCTATACAGTAAATGGTTTTTAGCGGAATTACACTATGAGCTCTCTTTTGAACAGGTGTACCTAGTAAAGTGGCTGGTGAGTGTATATATATTTTTGGGGGGTTCTAAGTAATGTTCTAGCAAAAAAAAGTGTTTTTTTTACATGTAGGAGAGAAATGTCAGAATTGGTCTGGGTGGGAAGTAGTTAAAGCGCATCTCCACCCAAAAGGTGAAGTTCCACTTTAAGGCCTCATACCCTGCTCCCCGATAAGGGAAGAGGGGAGGGGGCGGGTACCCGATTTTGACAAGTACGACTAGGCAATCAGAAGACGAAGTTGTCCTCGCTCCCCGTAGTCTTCTGGGACATGTGACAGGTCCCAGAAGACTACGGAATAACAAAAAAGGTCAGAGGCTCCAATAATAGTTAGTATCTCATAAAATTACAATAGTTTTGCCTAATAACCAAAAAAGCCTACAAAAAAGAAAATTGTGAATGAAGAATTCACAAACGAAAAGCAGTTACAAAAAGGACAAATTGTCCTTATTGAGGTGATAGTTGTTGCAGCTCTTACTTGAGTTAATTTCATGTGCAATTTTGCTAATAAAGCATTTTTCAAGATATATCCAGTATCGCATTGTCCTTTTTGTAACCGCTGTTCTTTGTGAATTCTTCATTCACAATTTTCTTTTTTTTTTCCCCCAGACTACAGGACCATTCACAAGGCGCAGTGCTACTCAGGCATGCGCAGTGGGCACCCGGCTGTAAAGCTGTGAGCTGTCACAGCCGGGTGAACACACTGAAGATGCCGGCACCGGGGAGGGAGGAAAGCTGGTGAACCTGGCTGAACATTGACGGATTGAGGGACAGGTGAGTGGCTGTTTTTTTAAAAGTCAGCAGCTCCAGTTTTTGAAGCTGCTTTTATTTTTGTACATTTTGACTGGAGCTCCGCTTTAAAGTATTACTAAACCCCCAACAGTAAAATCAGTCAGAATATGCACTAAAGCATGCTTGTTATACTCACTGTGGAACCTAAGGGGTTAATCCTCTGCATTGTGTCAAAATGCTGTTTGTTCCTGACTTCTCTGATCCTCCCCTTCTTTCACTGTCCCCAATCCATATTCTGATAGTACAGAGCTCTAGGAGGCACTCTGCACATGCTCAGTTTGGTGTGTATTGCTAGAGAGTTTTTCTTTATTCTTGGGAGAGTGCATGTGATCAACACAGGTCCAACCAGTGAAGTCCAGAGGTCAGGGGGTTATGCAGCCTCATAGGACAGTCAAAAGAGAATGAAAACTCCTCCAACAAGCTGTAACCAGTGCTCTGCTGGATACTGATAGAAGTCACAAGACTGCTCTAACTGCTGATGAGAGAACATATTTAGCAGTTTATAGTTACTAAAATAATTGCATTTCCATGTTCTGTGTACTGTGGGAGACCGGATATAGTGAATGCAGAGTCCTGGGTTTAGTAACACTTCAAGTGTATCTTTTTCCCACAAAAATTGTGTTTAAAAAAGTGCTTTGCAAATACCACGTGACAACAAAAATTGCAAACACCCACCATATATATATATAAAATCTTAGTCCGTAGGGTTCAATATTGAGTTGGCCCGCCCTTTGCAGCTATAACAGCTTCAACTCCTCTGGGAAGGCTGTCCACAAGGTTTAGGAGTGTGTCTATGGGAATGTTTGACCATTCTTCCAGAAGTGCATTTGTGAGGTCAGGCACTGATGTCGGATGAGAAGGCCTAGCTCGCAGTCTCCGCTCTAATTCATTACAAAGGTGTTCTATCAGGTTGAGATCAGGACTCTGTGGAGGCCAGTCAAGTTCCTCCACCCCAAACTCATCCATGTCGTTATGGACCTTGATTTGTGCACTGGTGCGCAGTCATGTTGGAACAGGAAGGGGCCATCCCCAAACTGTTCCCACAAAGTTGGGAGCATGAAATTGTCCAAAATGTCTTGGTATGCTGACACCTTAAGAGTTCCCTTCACTGGAACTAGGGGGCCAAGCCCAACCCCTGAAAAACAATCCCACACCATAATCCCTCCTTCACCAAACTTTACACTTGGCACAATGCAGTCAGGCAAGTACTGTTCTCCTGGCAATCACCAAACCCAGACATGTCCATCAGATTGCCAGAGAAGCGTGATTCGTCACTCCAGAGAACACGTCTCCACTGCTCTAGAGTACAGTGGCGGCGTGCTTTACACCACTGTATCCGACACTTTGCATTGCACTTGGTGATGTAAGGCTTGGATGCATCTGCTCGGCCATGGAAACCCATTCCATGAAGCTCTCTCTACACTGTTGTTGTGCTAATCTGAGGGCCACATGACGTTTGGAGGTCTTTAGCTATTGATTCTGCAGACAGTTGGTGACTTCTGCACACTGTGTGCTTCAGCATGCACTGACCCCGCTCTGTCATTGTACGTAGCCTACCACTTCGTGGCTGAGTTGCTGTTGTTCCCAGTTGCTTCCACTTTGTTATAAAACCACTAACAGTTGACCATGGAATATTTAGTAGCAAGGAAATGTCACGGATGAATTTATTGCACAGGTGGGAACCTATCACAGTGGCACCACGCTTGAATCCACTGAGCTCCTGAGAGCGACCCATTCTTTCACAAATGTTTGTAGAAGCAGTCTGCATGCCTAGGTGTTTGGTTTTATACACCTGTGGCCATGGAGGTGATTGGAACACCTGAATCCAATGATTTGGAGGAGTGTCCCAATACTTTTGGCAGTATAGTGTATGTATATATATATATATATATATATATATATATATATAATGTTTGGGGTAATTTTCCAGTAAATAGGTATGTTGTTGTCACATGTAGGAGAGAAATGTCAGGACTGGCATATTGCTAAACTGATTGTACAATCACTTTGTATAGTGTATGTCCTGCAATAATCTGCCTGGATTGGACAGTTGAGCCAGGTTCTCCCTCCACACAGATGTGATCAATGTACATTTGATTGTACGGTCACGTTGTGTCATGTATGGAGAAGAATGTTGTGCTGGGGGCCCATTAGGTGAACGAACAGGTATGTGTCCGTCCCCTCCTCCACCCTCAGGTGCCCTTCTCCCTCCGCCGTGTCCCCGGAGATTGTTGCTTTGATCTTTGTCCTTCCCCCGGTGTCACTCCCATCCTCCCCCCCTCCCGCACACATCACATTACAGGACAATCCGGAGACAAGTTGTTGATCTCCGCCCCTCCCTCCTTCCCCGGGTGGCTCCGCCTCTCAGGCCTGGGAGTGGATAGCGAGGGGGAAACAGCGATTGGGTGGGCGTGATCACAGCGACTGGGTGGGCGGGGACAACCCCTTTTGGAGAAAAAAAAAAAGAGAGAAAAAAAGAAGGGAAGAGAATCACGTGTCTGAGATGAAAGGGATGCCGCCTGGCAGAGCGCAGGGAGAGCAGGGAGAGCCATGGAAGTGACAATGATCGGGCTGTGAGAGGCAGAGAGCGGGGGATCGCAGCCCTGTGTGTCCTGAGATGACGAGCCCCCGCCGGGGGAGATGAACGAGCCGAGGATCCCGGGGAGCCTGGCCCTGGGCTGGCTGGGGCTTGTGCTGGCTCTGGCCCCCGGGGGCTCCCTGGCCAAGGAGACCGCCTTTGTGGAAGTGGTTCTGTTCGAGTCCAGTCCCAATGGAGATTATAAGACCCCACACCACGGAGCTCCAGGGGAGGTTCTCCCGGGCCGGGGCCACCATCAGCGCCGAGGGGGAGATCGTGCAGGTAAGAGGGGGCTCGAGGGCCAGTGTGTGTGAGGGGGGCTGGCCTGCAGGGGGCGCACTTGGTGGCTCCCACTCCCTCCATTCATCTCCTGCATACCACTACATTGTTTACACCTCCCATAGGGATCATTAACCCCTCCCTCACTACCCAGCACTCCCTACACCCCATCACAAGGACCCCCAAAACTTGTCCTGAGATAATCTATGACAGGTGCTCCCCAGCTGGCCGGCTGGAAGGGGAACGCGTGTTTTATGTCGCTGCGATAAGTGGCGCTGCCAAGGCTCCATAACATTGTCATAGATGGCAGATTCACCGTCCCTGGGTGAGGAGCCTGCGTTGGCTTTCCTTCTTTCTAAAGCCAAGGGTGGAAATAGTATTGCCATACACTTTACAATCTGATTGTACAATCTCCTTTTTAGATTTGCCATCAATTGGCGGAAAAGTGCGGCTGATTGGTAGGGGTGAGCTGAGGCGTGTTCAGGTCCTAGGAAGCTGTCATTGTACTGAGCCAATCATCTGCAGCCAAGGCATTCCCCGCCCCCGCAGTTGCATGTGCACAAGGGGCAGGGAGGGCTTCGGTGGCAGTGATTGGTCCAGTACAATGACAGCTTCCTGTTAGTGTTGCTCACATGGGTTCAAATTAGTATTTAAACAGAGCCAGGCTCATCACTACTGATCGAATGTCCTCCATTTATTTATTTCAGGTACTTATATGGCGCTGTCAATTTACGCAGCGCTTTACATTTATATTGTACAGTCACATCAGTCCCTAACCCTCAAGGGGTGTACAATCTAAGGTCCCTAACGTACATACACATACTAGGGCCAATTTAGACAGGATCTAATTCACCTACCAGCATGTCTTTGGAGTGTGGGAGGAAACCGGAGTACCCGGAGGAAACCCACGCAGGCACAGGGAGAACATGCAAACTCCAGGCAGGTGGTGCCGTGGCTGGGACGCGAACCAACGACCCTAGTACTGCCCTATTACAAAGCTTTGGTACAATCAGATTGTAGCGTGTATGGCCAGCTTTATGGTATCTGTAGACTAGATGAAGAATTGTTCAAAAATCTGTCATTTGGACAGTTTGTGGTTTTTTTTGTTTTGTCCCAAATTGTTAGTGGCATTTTTGAGCCAAAAAAACAAAGGCAAAGTTTGGAAAACTTCTGCCGAATGGACGATAAGTTGAAAGTCAAACTGTTGGTACTGCACATATGTGACCCAGAAGCAAAAAACGGATTTATGTCTATTGAACAATTTATCGTTTGAATTTCGGTCACTATGTGGTGGCAATATCATTTCCTCTGATGACCATGTGCTCCTTTTTCCACTAGTGTATGGCTAGCATTAGTTTTCTTTCTCAGGCTTCTTTTCATGTTTAACTAATTCCACCATTATAGACGTCTGTCATTTGGTGGCAACTGTACTGAGCAGCATTGTCATCCTAGGACTAACACAGGGGGAGGTGTTTTATAGTTCAAAGAGATTGCAGGGGACAATGTGAACTGATAACAGTCCCCAGGCAGAGAGGAAGCTTTCAGCTCAAGCTGGATGAACAGCTATTTTTTTTCTTTTTTTTGCACTTGCTGAACAGATATCATAAAATCCTTTAAGGCTGGGTTCACACTAATGCGGTGTGGGAAATGCTGCGCACCCTGTGTGATTCCTATGTCGCATGGCGTATGTGCGATCCGGTGCAGGTGTCAGACATCCCGAAACAGATTGCAAAATGCGATTGCCAGAAATTGCATCGCATGGGTGAGAACACCTATGTGATACGCTTCAAGTGTGGGTAATAAAGAGGGTCTTGCGCCATTTTGGTGCGGATACGATGCAATTTGAGCCATACAAATGCACATACATTTTATGTAATTTGCACAGGAATGCGGTGCAATTGCTGTGTGAATTACATGCGGTGTCCTGCACCGCATTAGTGTGAACCCAGACTCTGAATATTTAACGTGACAAGTGGAAGCAAATAAGAGACATTTTATTGTTAGTATTTTATATACACTTTTAACGGCCTATGCGCAGCGACTGACATTTTTTCACACTCGATCACCTGTCACCGCAGGGGCACCATTGCTTTCTATGTGCCCCGTTCACACAACAGTGATGTACAGCACAGAGAGATTTAGACATGCTGCATGTGTTTGAAATGTTACTTTGAAATTTCAATGAAGTTTGAAAAAAAAAAAAAAAAAAAAAGGTAAGCGCTGCCTTACAACACCAGGCACTGCTCCCCATCACTGGCACACAACAACACTGTTTTACCATGCAGGCATGTGTGAATGGACCATTAGGCTGTTTCTTTCTTTTCACCTGGTGATCCTACCAGGAACACACTTCCTCTCCTAGAGTGACAACGCCTACACATTGTATCTATGGAGGGGAACTGTTGTCACCCTAAGCTGCTCTCCTTATTTGGACTATTAAGAGCTCCCCCACTCCTCAGCTGCTCTCCCGATTTGGACTACAAAGACCTTCCCCCTCCCCTCATCTCCATAACATAGGTTGGAGGAGTTTTGTAGTACACAGAAGATCTCTGGGAAAACTGAAACATTGACAATTCAGTACAAGGATTCCGGATTTCAATGAGGATTAACAAACCGTTATTCTGTAAATGTTCTTAGCCTGAAGAGCAAAAACGAATGCAGCCATCACACCTAAGGACTGGTCATCTGCAGTATATTACATTTTTATGTTTGGGTTTAGCCTTCATTTGGAGAAAATCATGTAATATGGAGGCTACCCTTCCCATGGCTTGTACTCAGATGTTCATACTGGATAAGATACATTCCAATTTAAAAGGTTTTGTTTAGATTACATGGTATGGGAACTTCAGTTCCAGCTCTGTTCCTCCAAGTTGGGGCCAAGAGTGTGTGGTCACTGAGATCATTTTCCCAAGCCATGATACCTAGCTGGGCTGGTCTAGAGCCTGGGATAAAGATAGCTGGGCTGGTCTAGAGCCTGGGATAAAGATAGCTGGGCTGGTCTAGAGCCTGGGATAAAGATAGCTGGGCTGGTCTAGAGCCTGGGATAAAGATAGCTGGGCTGGTCTAGAGCCTGGGATAAAGATAGCTGGGCTGGATCTAGAGCCTGGGATAAAGATAGCTGGGCTGGTCTAGAGCCTGGGATAAAGATAGCTGGGCTGGTCTAGAGCCTGGGATAAAGATAGCTGGGCTGGTCTAGAGCCTGGGATAAAGATAGCTGGGCTGGTCTAGAGCCTGGGATAAAGATAGCTGGGCTGGTCTAGAGCCTGGGATAAAGATAGCTGGGCTGGTCTAGAGCCTGGGATAAAGATAGCTAGAGCCCTGGGATAAAGATAGCTGGGCTGGTCTAGAGCCTGGGATAAAGATAGCTGGGCTGGTCTAGAGCCTGGGATAAAGATAGCTGGGCTGGTCTAGAGCCTGGGATAAAGATAGCTGGGCTGGTCTAGAGCCTGGGATAAAGATAGCTGGGCTGGTCTAGAGCCTGGGATAAAGATAGCTGGGCTGGTCTAGAGCCTGGGATAAAGATAGCTGGGCTGGTCTAGAGCCTGGGATAAAGATAGCTGGGCTGGGCTGGTTCTAGAGCCTAGGGTAAGGAAAGCTAGGCTGGTCTAGAGCCTGGGATATGGAAGCTGGGATTAGTAGAGTTTGGGATGAATAGTGCTGGGCTAGTCTAGAGCCTGGGATAAGTAGAGCTGGGCTAATCTAGAGTTTGGGATAAGGAGAGCTGGGCTAATCTAGAGTTTGGGATAAGGAGAGCTGGGCTAATCTAGAGTTTGGGATAAGGAGAGCTGGGCTAATCTAGAGTTTGGGATAAGGAGAGCTGGGCTAATCTAGAGTTTGGGATAAGGAGAGCTGGGCTAATCTAGAGCCGGGGATCAGGAGAGCTGGGCTAATCTAGAGTTTGGGATAAGGAGAGCTGGGCTAGTCTAGAGCTTTGGGATCAGGAGAGCTGGGCTAGTCTAGAGCTGGGGATCAGGAGAGCTGGGCTAGTCTAGAGCCGGATAAGGAAAGCTGGGCTAGTCTAG